AAATTCTTCTTATGTTTTTGGTAGGTTCTTGATACTGAAAAAGTGCTTGACTTTTTTATTTGATAAATTTTTAAATATATAATAATGTTTCGAAAAGTTTGGTTTATAGTGAGAAATGAGTAATGTATTTTTCCATTTTTTAGGGTTTTAGGGGTTTCTTTGTATTGCACTACTTACTTTTTTTCTTTTTTTTTTTATAGTACCAAATGATGGGGTTTTCAAGAATTCATCATTGAATTTCAAGGATTGTTTCAATTCTTGAAATTTTGCTCTCTGTTTTTTTGCTCTGTTATTTTTTTTTTTTATATAGTAGAAAAATGTCATCCTGTTTGGCTGGTGGTGGTAGAGCAGCTTATAAATTAGATTTAGAGATTATAAAATCTCCATCTACCTCATGGACTTCCCAATCATCTTCACCTTCTTCAACATTATCCGAATCGAGCAATTCTCCCATTGCAATCTCTACTAGAAAACCTCGAACACCTCGAAAAAGACCTAACCAAACCTACAATGAAGCTGCAGCTCTTTTATCAACAGTTTATCCCAAAATTTTCTCATCAAAACACCTCACTAAGCCTTGCAAATTCACTAAACCACATTACCCCTTTTCATATGAGTCCTCAGACTTGGTTGTCCCTTACCAAATCATCGAAAACTCGGGGTTTTTACTCCATCCTCCATTGATTGAAAAACCCAATTGCGTAATTGAGCATAAGTCAGTCAGTTCTTGTGAAAAACCATGCCAGAGTCCTGGGGAAATCGACTCTAAAGGGAGTAGTTCGTTAGATGTGTGTGAAGAATTTCAAGAAGATTTCGATGCTGAATCTATCTTAGATGAGGAAATTGAAGAAGGTGTTATTGATAATATCATGGGAAAGTTAAGAGTTGAGAATGAGGTAAAGAATGAGTCCATATTTAGTTATAGTTATAGTCATAGCAAGCGCCACCAGAATAATTCTGGTGGCACTTGCTATGGTTTTCCAATAGGATTAGGATTCGAAAATGGGTACCAACATTATGATTTTGGTATAATGAGGGGTGGAGTGAGACCATTGAGAAATGTTGATGATGGTGATAATTGGTGGAGGTATACTTCTAGTGTGAACGTTACCGACATTACTCCGAAATTTAGTAAACCTCCAATCGAGAAAAAGAAAAAGAAAGTTGAGAGACTCGTGGAGTTGAGAGGGGCCGCGGAAACATCATCAGCTAAAGATAATTCGATTACAAAGAAGACGAATAAGGAGAATTCAAGTCAATTGATTAAAGAAGAGGTAGTCGATGTTCCTAAACCAAATTCGGGGTTGTTACTAAAATTGAACTTCGATGATGTTTTGAATGCGTGGTCCGATAAGGAATCCCCGTTCTCCGATGACATTCAGGGTTCTGATGCTACAGGAAATGATGTACAAGTAAGTTTATTTTATCTTTATGGTTAAATTCTGTTTGAAATTTTATGAAGAATTTTATTTATTGGATTCTGTTATTTTTAGTTAAAAGTAGTAAGCATACTAGATAAAACTGCAACATAATTTTTGGACCACGACACGTGCATTTCATGCTTTTTTTTCCCTTTAATTATTAAGAAATATTTTAAATTATTTTTCAAAAAATACTTTTCTGCTTTTTTATATACTTTTTATTTGACTCTTTTTTTCTTTTTGTTGAATTTCATGACATAATATTCAAGTTGGTAGTTAGCATCAAATGACTGTTACAATCTTGCCTCTTTCCAGCTAGAAAGTGGGACCTTTTTGACACACTAATGTACAAAATCGTAGTTCGGTGAATAAAGTATCTCACAATAATAGAGTTCGAAAAAGAATTGTACCTAAAAAATTGCTTCTACGGTTCAGATTTGTGAAACCTATAAGTCATATAAATATAATTTTATTGTTGCACACTAATGTGTTTTTTAAGAATATTTTTGAAAAGTTCAATTTGTTTTCTATTCCTTTTGGTATATACTTATTCGAAAGTTAATTTTGAATTAGTCGTAGTTTAATAATTTTTAGATATCAAATATATAGTATTTAATAAATAATTAGTTTAATACTACGTGTATGCATCCTTAACACACACAATGATTGTTATAGTTTTAAATGTTACTTTTCTTTATAGTTTATTCAATAATGTTGTTGTTGACGTAATAGACTAATAATGCATAAAAAAAAGTGTTTTATTATCAAATCATTTATTATGACTTCAAATATGTCATTTTGTTAAGACATATTTTATAAAATCATTTTCTACTTGTCCTATTATTACTTGTGTTCTGTTATTTTGTTACCGTTGTTTTTCTTTAATTTATGTTTTAATTTTCACTTTTTTAAAATCAAATGTTTATAAAAAAATAGCCGAAGACCTTATTTGTGCAATTTTACTGAATATTTTATTATCATATAATTCATAATATTAAGTGTCTTGTTGATACAATCAACATTTTTGTTTTCACCCTTATGTTGTTACATGTTTGTTTTCACCCATTAGAAGTTGGAACTAATTAAATTTTAATAAAATTTGAAGAATGTATTGGAATATGATATATTTTTCCTTTTTTCTTTTTTCTTAATTTTTTAAAATAATGGTTTTATTTTATTTTTTGGATGCAGGCTAGATTAGCACAAATAGACTTATTCTCAGATAATGGAGGAATTAGAGAGGCTAGTGTGTTACGTTACAAAGAAAAACGACGTACTCGTTTATTTTCTAAAAAAATTAGATACCAAGTTAGAAAAGTCAACGCGGATCGACGACCCAGAATGAAGGTATTATTATTATGAAGAAAAATCAACTTATATACGTTGACAATGTAAGAGTTTTTTTTAGACGATCACCTCTTATTGTTAGTTGTTTTCCTTAATTTTTTAGGTTATTTATTTCGTTTATTATCAACATTATAATTTTTTGAGTAATCTGATAGTAAGTTTTAGTGAGTTTTTTTTATATTGATACTTGAAGTGTTCAATTAATTATTTTGATTTTTTTTTTTGGCTTGAAATATAGAGAAAGGAATAAAAAAGTGTTTTTTTTAAAAAAACAAGAAATCTTTTCACTACAATTTTTTTATATTTATTAAAAAAAAGAATTGATTCCTTAGTGTGAAACAAGGAGGAATGACAAAAATGAAAAAGTAAAACATGGAACATATGCCCAATTTTTTTTATATTTATAAAAGTTCTAAATCTTATAAAGGTAAATGATTTTTTATCTTATTATTAATTTTTTTTTGACAATGTTAAATTCTTATAAGTTATAACTCAATCAGTGTAGACAAATAAGAAGATTGTGGGGGATCTAATAAATCAAATAAAGGCACTTTTAAACTTTAGGAAATGATACTTTTTATTTTTACACTATAATGATGAACTTTTATACTAGTTTTTCTTGTTGTGAATGATTGTTTTTTTTTACAATCACTTTTAAATTTTAGAAAAAAAATTTAATTTCCAAATAACTAGGTAGAAATCTAGAAAGTTTCTAAAGAAAAAGAAGATTCAAATTTTATATTTAGGGATACATTTACAATTTCTTCTTAAATCCTCATTTATATGTCATATATTGTCAAAATAAATGAAATTTATAAAGGGGAAACAAAACTCCACTTAATTAACATATCTAACAAGTAAATTAGATTCTATAATCCATTTTCATATAATTAAAAGTCTCTTAATTTTGTACTTATACATGTTTTAATTTTTTAAAATTATTGCAGGGTAGGTTTGTCAAAAGCCCAAATTCACCAGAGGATGAGCTAGGATGATTTTTCTAGAATTACTAGGATTTTTTTTTTGGGTATTTGCAATTTTGTTTCTTTTATTTCATTGTTCTTTTTTTTTAAAAAAAAGAAAAGAAAGAAAAGTTATTCTGCCTTGTTACATTTAGAATAAAGTATCAAGGAAGATAGACTAGTTGAGAACAAGGAATATGAAGCAGAATAGTTGAATTTCTTTTTTCTCATTTTATGTTTTGTTTCATTTTTTTTTATAATTCTCTAATTATATTCGCATCAAACTTATTATGTTGCACGGTTAGGAGGACAGTTAGAAATAGGAAAATATGTTGATACTGAACAGTTATGTAGACTTCTCCTTCACTTCAAGACCTCCCGTCTATTCGGATTGAGCCAAAGCAGACACTATTAGTGGAGAGATGTTGATGTGAAGAGTCCCACATCGACCCTTTTCCTTAGTAAACATTTGTGTGTCCACAACAAAAAAAGCCAAAAATTGGCCAGTCTTTTAGACATCTCACAATAAAGAAGCCCTAACCCCTCGGTGCCAAGTCACCAAAATAGATAGTCAAGGAAGTAATAATCATCAATTACATATAATCGATAAAGTAAAATTCCTCGATGAAATATTTTATTCGATAAGTTGTATTAATTCAAGTTCTAAGTCAGGACCCTAGACAAAATAATGAATTTTTTAGATAGATATATGTACATTTGGAAGATACAACCAAAATAGACAGAGAGATGCACACAATTTTCTATATTTCTATGTATACAACTCTAACTTTGGACAAGAAAGTGATCCAAGTACATGCACTCATTATTCAGTAATACCTTTTGATAGTACACACTTTTTCTGGCCCCAACTACAACCCAAAAGACCAGCAACTGTGCCACCACAGTGGCCAAACAGTACAACATTCCAATACCTCCAAACAAGTATATATACTATAAAACATGACTGCCACAATGTACCTTTTTGCGCGGTTCAAAACTCGGTGAATAATGAATTCTATCACTTTATCATTTTTCACTTTTAAGTACCAAGGATTTTGTCTACATGGCAAGGTTTTTACTTGATAGCCACTACTACATAACATAACCTTATATCACTGGTCGCGCTCTTACTACTTGACCGCAACTACTACATACCTGTACAGAGAACTCTTCACAAGTTGAGTTCATTAAGCCGCTCTCGTACTTGGTCATGTCACCTTATATGTACACATGAAAAATCCTTAAGAGAGCTTTTATCAACTGCAAGAGAAAACCATACTCTACAGCTCAAATAGCCAGCCAGCATTCTGTATCATCATAAAGTAACAAATGCGAACATCACTAGAAAATGATAACAGATTAAACAACATAAGTAGAAGCTCTGAAGTCTGAAGCAAGGTTAGAGCATTGGATGGTTTCAGATTCTGAATGTTGAAAGCATATCCTTCAATTTGAGCTTACTTGTCCAGCTTCAGTAAATTGCAACATATTAACAGGCTAGCGGCAAAACTAAACAAATCGTGCAGCTATGCCACAGTCTTCACCAAAATCAAAAGCAAATCAAACTGCTGCAATATCCACCCCACACCATTTTTCGTACTTGCAGCACCACAGCTGCCATAAATCACAACCAGCAACACCAACAATACCTGTTATAGACCACTCTTCATTGAACAAAGTGGAGTGCGAAACTCTATGAATAACTGAAATCACACCTAAAAAGAAAATAGATAGTTCAAAGCATCAATTTAGTATCTAATACTGCCCCATTATATTATTTGTTACCAAACTGTTCTGATGCTTCATATTGTTATAAGGCAACACATTCATTACAATGTCGCTGATCATGAATCAGAACAGAAAAGAGAAGTAACAGAAAATGATAACAAAGAAGAACAAATATAATAATACTAGTATAGCAAGAATTCTGCACAATGAAAAGAAATTAAGAACTAACTGGAAGTTGAACAAGCTCAATATGAACTCCCAGATAAAAGCATTGCAATGTATCTTTGGCCGAGTAATCATCCCTATGAGATATCTTCTTGGCACAATATGCAACCTATATTTATGAATTTAAAATGCTTACAGACGTGACTTAAGCTTTCTAATCACCGAGGTGCAAGAGCCATATAAGAACATGGAACCTAAATGGAGTTTACCGTTGTCTGTGATGGGAAGAAACCTTTGAATCTATTTTATTCTCTGTTTTTGGTAAGATTGATCTGATAATAGCCTCCAGATTACAAAGTACCAGCAGATAAGGGTAGCTTAGATTGCATTCACACACACAAATTAGAAGCAACACATAATATCTTTTAATACAGAGACAAAGTAAAGTAGTCTTATTCGTTCCAAAGTAACGTTAGCAATTTCACCCTTCTTTCTTTATATGCAGCTCACTTTATCTCTTTTTCTACTTTTCCTGATCTCATGTTCTTTGTCACTACAGAATTTCACTTGTATGAAACTAACTTTTTCTTCTTAGCCCTTGATAATGTTCCATAGGAAATTAAGGACTTCTACAAAGATGAAGGAACTTTGAAACAATTAAGTCTAGACATTGAAGCAATTATCCCATCTAACTAACCCCTATTTGCTCAGTGGACCCTACTTCTAGAAACGGTTACTGCTTAAAAATAAATATGTAAGGCAGCCAAGGGTGTGATCTAGTGGTCAATGAAGTAACCATGAGATCTCAGGTTCAAATACCAACAGAGGCAAAAAATATACTGGGTGATTTTTTCTCATCTGCCTACGCCTTGGTGAGCAGTGTTACCCGAAAGTTGTGCTGCGAGAGGTAGCAGGTGCCTGTTAAATAGTCGAGATACGTGCAAGCTGGCCTCTACACCACCATCACAAAAAATAAAAATAATTGAACAAGTGAGCAGGAACAGGAAGGCGTCAAATTCATCCTAGGAAGAGGAAAGATAATGGAAGAATGCGTCAACCATTGCCTGACAGTAGTTCAAGTCTTTCTTCAATTATATAAGAAGATAAGGTTGGTACTTTCTAATTAGTGGAGGTACATATTTTTTCCTTATCTTCAATGTTTTCTTCTTTCACCTATATTTTAGAAAATAGTTCACTCAATCATCAACCTTATGCTTCAAGAAGTTAAAATATCTTGTCTCTGCTCAAACTGATATTGCACATCCTGAAATTGAGCTATGGTAATTCATCTATCCAAAACCCACAAGTTATTCATCTAAGACAAAATCATATTCAATCCACAACACTAAAAACCAAAGGGAAACTATATTACGAAATCATAATATGTCTTCCATTACAAATATACTAAGGTCAAGCTAAGTTAAATAAAAGTTGAATAAACCTAGACCAACATTCGAAAAAATAAAGAAAGAAGTGAAAGAAGCAAAAAAAGATAAACCAAGGGAAGCAGTTTTACCATCAAGAATGGCTTTGAGGAAGCTGTAGACAATGGATTTGCAGAAGGTAACACCTGCCAGCAACAATGGCTCCCAAAACTGAGTTTTCACTTTGGCATTCAGGCTTGAAGACTGAGAGAGCTAACTTTATCAATTCCCCCACTATTTTTTAAAAATGAATTTGAGTATTTGACCAGCACCACCCCATCCCCTTCGCCTAAGAACTCATCTTCGCTTCACTATTTATGCTTTGCCTAGCCTCAGCTCAGTGCTGCCCTACCCCATTGCCAAACTTAGCAAATACATGTTCTCTTTCAACGCACATGTAGGTTACTACCAAATAGAGAAGTACATCAGAAATCAAAAAGGCCCAAGAATCATTCCTTCACAAATTAAAAAAGGTAACCACATTGAGCATATTAAGTTTAATGATACACATTCAGCATGCTAGTGTTTCTACAAAGTACCTCTAACACCCTTCCTTCGTGGTAGGTCAAACACATCGATAAAAACTCATGATTATTATATCAATTCAAGCATAACACTCAATAGAGAAGCCATTGAATTATAAGAGATACAGCAAGAGCTAACCACCAAGAATGACATAAGCAGTGTGGTCAAACTTCAAAGGCTTATTTAAGGCGTGCTTAAGTCCTGAAGCTCAAAAAGCTGAATGAGGATGCTTCGCATTGCTTATGTTGCTCCAGTGTAGGGAAGACACCAAGGGGGGTGCCTCATTTCTCGCAAATGCCATTTGAATCAAGCAATACTAAACAATAAATGTAATTAACAAAGGGATGTATTAATTGTTAAGGAAAGCATTATGAACGAATTGTTACTTTTTTCTTGCGTTACAATTATTTTTCTTAACTGTGCCTTTTCTTACTAAAGCCCACAATTTAACTGCACTTTGCGCCAAAAGCCTCAATATACTTGGAGCGTTTTCTAAAGATTTTTTGCCTTTGACAATACTATATATAAGCAACATTCGCAAAGGCCACCCCCTCCTTTACATTTGAAAAAAGTTACGCATATCAATCATCTAAAGTAGCCTGCTAGTATCTATACAAATGTACCTCTGTCTTTGCATATATCAAAATATCAATTGCAATATAACTCATAGAGAATCAAGGGCTAGACCAAGAACGATAGAAGCAACATTCCTTTTTTATTTTCCCAAAACAGCAATGAACAAGATCATCATCCTCTTTCTATTCTTTTTGATGAAGTCATCCTCCTATTCTTCTTCTTAATCAATGTCATTTTTCTTCTTCATAGTCTTCTTTTGCACCAATACTAGCAACATTAAATATTCAATACTTCCAACTAATGTGTTAGTCACCAGAAGAGACAAACCTAAGCTGATGCAATTCTCCCTTTTCAGAAAAGTACACAACCTACCCAAAGGGCACAGCGAACCAACAAAAACTTATTCATGTTACTCCAACGATTAAACAGGAGAGTGGACAGGCAAGTTTATAATTGAACACAACAAATACACTTTTGGTACAGTTCCAGAAACTGATAAAGGTAGAGTCTATTTCAAATCACATCTCACCAAACCAACAAATGCTGCTCGTCAGCCCAGACAAATTATTATGTGTCTCCCAGGATCAGTATAGTATTAGCTAAGCCACTTGTACTTTGCATCTAGCTTGCAACTAAAACAAGATTGCAGATTCTCTGTGATAGAACTAGCTTCTACAATCATGTCGAATGAGACATATATAGCAAAATTGAATAGAAAAGAGGCGAAAGATGCAATCACTTAAGTTGAACCATAAATAAGGAGTCCTCCTAATTGCAATAAGATATCACGTCTGTCCAAGGAGAAAAACAAGCAGAACCTTTTTCAATTAAAAGAAATTCTGCAAGAGTCAAAGAAATTCTTAAAGCTTGCATAACTCATGTTTGTCTCCCTCCTGGATCATTATTTTTAAAATAATTACATAAAAATACCAAGGGAAGAGGAAAAATTTTCCGTTGCGTAATGTAGAACTTCTCACTTCCTCTCAACACTTGTCCGTCTTCCTCTCGTTCTATCATATGCATATCATGTAAAACTGTGTATCTCGCCAACTCAGAATGCTAATATGGAACTGTCATCTACAAGTATGATTCAAAAACAACTACTCCTCAAATTCAACCAGTGGGAATAGCCACAATCATCCTTACATACGAACACAAATGGAAATTTAGACGAACAGCAACAGCTCAGGATATTCTAACAACCATCTTGTTCTTTTTCCCCGCAGACAAAAGGATAACTTTGTCATCCACAATGTCATCTGCCTCAATCTTCTTACTCTCGCTATCAACTTTGGCATTGTTCAAGTAAAGTCCCCCTTGCTTAAGCATTCGTCGTGCAGCTGATTTGCTTTCAAGCAAACCACTGGAAACATAAAGATCCAAAATTGGTATGTTTAACACCTGTTCATGATTCATGGAGCAAGATGGAACATCAGCTGCAATACCTTCAATTGTTTTCCAATCCAATTTGGTATCAGCATTTCCAGGCTTCAAAGCCTCTGTAGCCTTTAGAGCCTCTTCCAATCCCTCTTGTCCATGAACAAACCGTGTAACCTCCTCGGCCAGCCTACGTTGAGCTGTGTTAGGAACATATCCTAGTTTTCCCATATCCCTCTCCAGCTCTGCAATCTCTTCAATGCTCAAAAAGGTAAGAATCTTAAGAAACCTCACTACATCATCATCTGGGACTGTAAAAAAGTATTGATAGAACTTATACGGTGACAAAAGTGAAGCGGATAGCCAAATTGCACCATCTTCTGATTTTCCAAACTTGGTACCATCACTCTTGAGAAGCAATGGAAAAGTAAGCCCAAAAACAACCGGAACATTGCCAACAACAGCTCCATTTTCGGAAGATTTTCCTATAAGCCTACGAATAAGATCAGTACCAGCAGTGATATTACCCCATTGATCACTACCACCAATTTGCACAATGACACCTTCCTTTTCATACAAATGCACAAAATCATAACCTTGTAAAAGCTGATACGTAAACTCAGCATAACTCATCCCTTGCTCTGCATTTTCCAACCTTTTCTTCACACTTTCCTTCGACATCATAGTCCCAACTCTAGCATACCTCCCCACATTCCTCAAAAAATCCAAAAAATTTACATCTTTCCACCAATCATAATTATTCAAAATTTGTACCTCTCCAGCATTTTCACAAACACCTGGTGAGTAAACCAAAATCTTCTTAACAATACCAGCAATCCCAGATATATTCTTCTCCAAAGTTACCAAATCAAGCTCGGGTCGCTCCAAACTCTTCCCAGACGGATCACCAATCCGACCCGTAGCACCTCCAATAAGCCCCACAGCATTATGCCCACAACGTAAAAACCAAGAAAGCACAATTATACCCAAAAGATTACCAAGGTGTAAGCTTTCAGCAGTTGGGTCAAACCCACAATACACTTTCAACGGACCCAAATTCGGGTCGGAACAAACGGAGCGAAGTGAGTCGCTAGTCACTGATTCCAATAACCCCCTTTCTTCAAGAATGTGTAAAACATTGGGTCGTGATTTACTGTTCGGATTGCTAAAATTGTCTTCTTGGGATGTCGTCAATGGTGAGATAGAGCAAAAGGGTCGATGGGAAAAGTTGTGGTGGGAAGGGGTATTGGGGAGAAAAAGGTATGTGGGTAGTGGTAATTTTCTCAAGAAAGATGAAGTGAAAGGTCTGAGGGTAGTATTGAGAAGAAGAGATCGTAGGCCGGAGTTAATGGCACCGGCACCGGCGGCGGCGGCCATTTTTATGTGTGTTGACTGTTGAGCTTAGTGTTGCAGTTTTATCTGCTTGGGATGAGTTTAACTGGAAACACACGGTTCTAGGAAGGCCATATTTCAAAATTTTCAAATTAAGATTAAGATATTAATTAATATTTAAATTATGAGAAATTTAGAGAGATCTCAATAGTTTAGGAGCTAATAATTTAGATACACTTAAGTTTGTAATATTACGAATCTTATTAGATTTTGATCTGTTCATATGTCTAGATACATGTATCTTGAAATACGTGTGGTCAAAATTAGATGTAATGTATCAAAGTGGATTCGCATGTATTTGAGATAGATAAATTTTGCTCACCTCCCTCCTATCTTGCTCGCCACTCTCCTATCTCGCTCGCATATTTGATATTCTACATACATGTGAATTTCACCTTATTCATGATATATGTGTCTAGTGTGATTCACATGTATCTGAATTACATAGACAAATCTCACTTGTCTGCCTCCTATTCTCGCTCGCCTTTCTCCCTATTTCAATGTATTTAATAGCAAAAAACATGTATTTGAGTGTATTTGCCTTGAAATATGATATGGAGTTGTTAATCAATGAGATAAAATGTATTTATTTCAAACTATAGGGACAATTAGTAAATATAGTAGGAATGTTTGTGTAATTAGATAGTTTCTCCATAAATTATTGGCGACTTTAATTTCTTATTCCCTCTGTTTCAATTTATGTGACACCTTTCGAATTTCGAGATTCAAATAAGTTTATCTTTGACCATAAATTTTTCATATATCTTGTAAATATTTTGAATTGTCAATTATTGAATTTATAGTACTTTCTATGCAGTTTACAAATATATAAATTTCATTTCAAAAAGTTTTAAGATGTTATGCACAAATTCTCAGTCAAACTTAAATTGTTTGACTTACGAAAAATGAAAAGTGTCACATAAATTGGAACATAGAGAGTAATTGATTTTTTTAAAAAAAATATTGCTAAATTGGTTGAATTCGTAAGCTCATTCATAAACTCACTTGCAGAGTTTTACATGCTTCTCATAAGGCATATCATCAATATTTAATATTCAGACACAATCCAATTTATTATGCATATTGATCAACCCACGAATCTTACCATTTAACAAATTAAAATGATAATTAACATATACAACCCATAATAATTGTACATTAAATAGTTTATAGCATATGTTTTTCTAAATCAAAACATTTACCTCAATTTGATCGGTCTTGTTCAAAACATACAAAAATATACTAGCATAAGAAATCAGAACTATACTCTTTTCATAATTAAGATAAATTATATTTAATTTTATGTTATTATCATAGATTCATAGTAATGGTTTGTCTAATTTCCATCTTAATTGTGAACATAAACTTTATACTAATAATTTATTTTTCTGTGTATAATTTAAACTCTATACACTAAGGAATCGTTTAGTGGAATGTGTAAAAATAATATTGACTACAATATATTAATAATGTTGGGATTAATAATGACAAAATTAGTTATGCTTAGACTATTTCCTATCTACGATTTGATTTAGTGTATAACTGACAATTCTATCTTTACACATACTTACCCATATAGTAATAATCTTTTGTATTTCTAAAATATCATAATGTATAATATAACTATACATAGATATACACATAAGATAAAAATCTTACCACACAAAGAATTGAATAATACCATAACTACTATTTGTATCAAATTCCCTAATACATCCTACTAAACGACCCCTAATTCATCTATTATCATAAGTCAAATAGGCGAATATATGATTTATTTAAATCTCTATTATAATTGAACAAACAATTCTTCTATAATATTCCTCTTTTAAGTTATTGGGTTGTAAGTTAAGTAATTTGTATATGTTCTTAATGAATTTCATAAGATAAATATAAATTTGACCAAAATTATTAGATTCCATCGAACCTGTAGCGAACACTCTAGCTCTAGTTACCACATATAGCAATCAAAGAGAAAATGTAGCCATGAGATAAGTCTATAGAGTACGTTTGGATTATAGATGATGCAAGTTTATAGATAGCGCTAGATCCTTACATGCGACACTTTTTTAGATGTATCACACGCACTATGTCATGTGAGTAAAAAGTGTCTAATAGATAACACTTTTCTAACATGTTCAAATTAGCACAAGACAAACCAAAGTTACATCAGAAATCACAAATCGAGCTTGTTGTCATCACCATTAGCCACCATTGGAACAGGGTCGTCCTTGTTGATTGCCTTCTTATACTTGTATCTCTTTGCAACGATGAGAAAAATGAAGAAGTTTAGCACGCTTAAAACGGACAGTAGGAAGAAGAAATAATGAAGCTTTCCGTAATTTGGATTGTCTGATAGCCATCCCATCTTCCCATTCCTCGTGCTAATATCTGTGACAATGGTTACTAACAACGAGCTCACATAACTCCCAAGCGCGGTGGTTGTCAAAGAGAGAGCAGCACACAAACTCCGCATTGAATCAGGAGCTTGATCATAGAAGAACTCCAACTGACCGATAAATGTGAAAACTTCAGCACAACCAATTATCATGTACTGAGGAATTTGCCAAAATACTGACATTGGGATGTCCTTGGAGTCATAGAGGTTGCGCCTTTTTACTATCCCGAGCCTAACTACCTCCACGAGTGCAGCAGATACCATAGCAAAGACAGATATAACAAGCCCCGTTCCCATTCGTTGGAGTTGAGTCAATCCATTCTTGTGACCTGTGAACTTTCGAACGAATGGTACAAGCACTCTATCATAGACAGGAACCCATAGAATAACCGCGATGGTGTCAAAAACAGATAGTGAAGCCTCGGGGATTTTTAATTTGCCTAAATGTGTATCCATAGACATGGCTTGCACCACAAAATAATTGCTCATTTGGCTATACGCTGTGCTGAAGATAATCCCAGTAGCCCAAATAGGTAGCAACTTGACAACAGACTTGAACTCCTCAACTTGTGTCACTGTGCAAAGTTTCCAATTGTTTATTGAACCTCTGTTCTCATCCAACCCTGTTTTCACAGCAGCTCTATCGAAGAACCTGTAAAAGTAACAAACATATTTGAGTTACAGAATCTCGTAAATGCTACAAATATCAAGCTAGTTATATAAAATGAGTCTTTTTTGAATTAGCAAAAGTGGTGATTTTGGGTAACATAGTGTATCACATGCAGCCAAGTCGAGGCAAACTCTGAATACTAGATATGACATCAAAATAACAAGGGTCAAGGTCCGCTAGATAAACTTAAGCACATGTACCCCGGTGACCTCAGAAATTTCATAAAAAGGGCTTTCTAGAGTCCACAATGACCAATCGTCACATGAATTGCTAAGGATTCAATAAGTCCAACATTGATTCTTTCAGATGTGTCAATTGAGCAAATATTGTGGTGGCGATAGTGAAGGACGGTGCTACTTAAAGTAGCTTGAGGCTAGGATGATAAAAAGCTTAACACCTTTTATTCTTAGTAATTACTTTTTCAATATGAAAATGAAAAATCATTACATCATTTCTGAACGTACCTCAGGTCGTTTGTATGAGCAAGTTTGCGACTCCCTTTGATGGCGGATTCAGCTTCTGCAGTCTCATATAACAGAGATTTTTCAGCAGGCAATGTAACATGACATTTTCTAAGAGAAGCCACTACAACCTGGCATATACGCGTCAAAGGGCTTCCTCCAGGCTTTTGGTATCTATAGAGCCTAGATCCTGAAAAGAACGATACAACAGCAAAGGCCATAGCCGCAGCAGGAACACCAAATCCCCATCCCCAGCTAATATCCTGTTGTATCCAGACTATCAACGAAGAAGCAACGAGAGCCCCAATGTTGATGGAGAAGTAGAACCAATTAAAGAAGGAATTTTTGTAGTTCCTTTCGATAGGATCAGCATCATCAAACTGGTCTGCACCATAGGATGAGACACACGGCTTGATTCCTCCGGTTCCCAGTGCTACTAAGTAGAGTGCAACGAAGAATACTGCTGTTTGACTATCGGTTGAGTGACATTTATTCTTTTCATAACAAATCGGCCTAAGTCCGGGCACTGATGCTGATACTGTCAATAGTGTCATCCCCTTGAATGATAAGAAAAATCAGTTAATACATCACTACAAAAGAAACTAGAATTAGCTATGAACTTCATCACTAATCTGTCGCTAAATCACTCGTAGACACCAGATAGTAAATTAATAAACTCACACAAACATAGATGATTGAGAATATGGCAATAGTCCAGTATCTTCCAAGATAAGAGTCGGCGAGAAATGCTCCAAGCAAAGGCATAACATAACAGGTCCCTGCCCAATTCGATTGATTTTTAGACGCCGTTGCAGTTTCCTGACTGAGTTGAGTCTTGAAATAATACACAAGATTGGTGCTCATTCCATAATATGCCAATCTTTCACAGCATTCATTCCCTGTCAAAATGACAACAATTAATATCAATAATAGTTATCATCGCAGAAAATTCATTTCTCAACAATTTTATACCAAACTATTGCGTGGTATAGTCACTCAACTAATAGTTAACATCTCAGAAAGTCACTTTCTTTGTTGAAAAAAAAATAGAATCAAGAAGAAACACGACTTTCTGAAATAACAACCATTAGTTGAGTAACTATCTGAGATATCAACTCCTAGAGGTAAACCACGCAATAGTTTGGCATAAGATTGTAAATATTTGCTTGGAGTTAACTACAAGGCCACTCTATTCAACATATTTGGCGGAAGACGAACCAATGTGCACACATTTTGACAAATAAAAGATACAAACATAATATGTGAAGATTATGGTATAGAACTATGTTTGACCTGACTCCAAAAACACGAGAATATGAAATGACAATGAGTTAATATTATTACCAAGTATATAAGGGCAAGCCTTCCAAGTTCCTGTTTTCTTTTTATTTGCAGGCTTATTCCGATAATCGACAGTTCCATCCTTGGTGTAGACATCTTCTTCTTCTGCCATGGCCTAACAAAGATGAAACAACAGAGCGTTCTTGATCAACCTAGTTTTCGTCGATCAAATAAATTATCTAAACCTG